ACCACCGGTATAGTGGTCCCGAAGACACCGAGCTCAAAATAATAACCATGCCTTGAACTCCAAACTAGTGTCGACCATAGGCACAATGGTTTCGATGACACTGAGTCCCAAATTTAGCAATTTACATGTAAATAAACAATGACAAATGATAATAATAATAATAATAATCATTGTAATATCAATTGCTTAAAATAGAAAGTACTCGACAATCCAACATTTAAAGTGTCTAAAATAAAATATAACATGATAAAAGAAAATGACATAAAGAACAAACTCCCACTAACCAAGTACATCAAAAGAACTCACAATGCCCATGTTCTCTTCATAGCACACAAGCTAAGTCGATCACTCCTCTCCCACTTAGCTAATTTTTCTTTCTCTTTGGGTGTACTCTGATCATTGATCACAGGTTTGGTTTCACGCAATGTCATGTCAAGGTCAACAATCCCTAACAAAAACTCTAAGTCTTTCTTCCATTTTTTTAAAATTAGACCCATTCAGGATCTCAATAGAAGTAGAACAATTGTTCATAGAGAAGGTCATTGTTTAGACAAAATAGGAATGCATTAGAACAAATAATAAAGGCAAGATATAACTTTAATGAACATAAGCTATCACTAAGAGACCAACATTATCACACAATCCCCTTTGGGTGGAATGCGTAAAACTCAGGTTAGAACCAAGGTCAGAACCTCATATGAGTCGCTCAATGAGCATAAATTGGGTTCGAAAATCTATCTCCTTTGGGTAGATAAATTCTCTAAACCAAAACACCTCCAACAACTTCATCTACAAATTTCAAGAATAAGCTACTCAATGAGCATACATTGAGTTTAGAAATTTATTTCCTTTGGGTAAATAAATCCCTTAGACCAAAACATCTCCAATAGTTATATCCTTAATCAACCATGATCTTTACATACAATTGTCCACCTTTGGGGAGACAATCATAGTAATGACTTAAAACCATTCCTCAAACTACAAAGAGACTTTTACAAATTAAAACGAGCGATCTCACTTTGGTGATAATCACACACAATAATTTATAGAATTTCTTGCATAGGAATTAAAGAAAAATTCTTGCCAAAATAAATCATAAACCAATCATGAATTTAAACCATATAACATTCCTAATAAATTTTGTCTTCAACAGTATCAATCTCAATATTATAGAGATATTATATAATATTTTAAAATACTTGACAAAACAAATATATTACAAATTTATATAAACTAACCTTTATTTAATAAAATGTCCAAGACAATACAATGAAAATTTAGAAATATATAGTACATATTGTCTTGAAAATAATTAATCTAGTTAATTATATATAATTCAATTAGTAATATATAATTTTATATGATACTGTATTGGCGTGAAAAAATTGAACAAAAGAATTTAGAAGTGGCTATTAACTTGGAAAGGGAAAACAAATTAAGCACAAATACCGGAATTGTTCTATTAATTTGCAAAAGAAACACCAGATAAACAAAATCACCGGCACTATTGACGGCATTCAAGTATTTTGCATTTCAGTAACCAAAGAATCATATATATTGTTTTAATTGATCCAAAATAAAGGACAATTGAAAAATAACGTACTATCAGAACACTATTACTCATAGTCATATTATCACATATTATCCCATATTAGTTCATAATACTACCCCATATTATCTCATATTAATTTATCAAATTATACTCGTGGTAATCCTCACACTATCGCCCATCAATCACATAAACTTCACAGTCCTACTCATGTTAATTCATCATATTATCACAGTTACCCCCATGGTAATTCATCAGGAAAATCGCAACATCAAAACATTAAGACATCCTTGAACCAGAACATGATTCATTAATAGAACATATACACAATTGACTTCTCAAACATAATTAGATATAAAAATATTGGGAAAACAATTCCCTTATCCATACTATGTTATAGCTCTGTTTATTAGTTTTCCAACGCTTCGAACGGGAGTCAAAACGGACTTACGGATCAAAAGTTACGTCCAAAATAATTTCGACCAAAAACATGAACAGTTGTGACGAACGGAAAGACGCTGTTACCCTCCGGAACTGATTTTTACTCAATTATTCTTACGAATCACTCACTCAACATACCCAAAACATCACTAAAATATTTCTAAGGTTATACGGCAATAACAACACAACTTCTATGGTTTATTAGGCTCATCTGGCAACATTTGCAAAGCCTAAAACACCATATCCTGCAATTACTCTGAGTACTTCAGAGTTACTCACAATCCAAGGTTTTGGCCACGAAGGTAAAAATCATTATTTCTCATCTCTACACTCAAAGGGTCAAGAATACTAATCACTAACCTCCAGGTTCTACCGTCAATTTCCTTACAATTGCTCCGAAGGCATCATAATTTCAAATAATAAATATTCTATCCCATATGAGCAGACATATAATGATCTAAGATTTTGGCCACAAAGGCCTAAGGTTTCCTTTCTCATATCAATATTCAGTGTTACATACCATTAACCATAACCTCAAAACCTTATCACCAATTTCTTGTTTTCATATTATTTATGAAGTTTTGTAATGGTAAAATTTATTACGACAATAAAAAAAATAATACCATCAATTCGTATTCACAAAAATAATAATAAATAATTGAGTCATAACTCATATAATCTAGGCTCTGATACCAAATGTAAGCGGAAATATTCATTGATATTATATGAGATTAAAACATCAATACTTACTTGTTGAAGTCATGATTCGGAATTCCGAATGGATGAATGACCGAATCTTCCTCTGTATCTCACACTCCCGTTCACAACTTTCAATGGGGCAAGTTATGGAGCCGTCAGTTATGTTTCTGATTCTTTTTGTGATTACAGAGGGGACCTAGCCATATAATATATACAACCTTAGTCCCTACCCATTATGGGCCCAAGGTTAAAGCCTACACTTTTACCCACACCAATCAGGTTTCAGATACTCAGCCATTAGTTAAAAATTGACCACTTAATTAATTAAAGGGCTTATATATGCACCTCCATCAGAATCACGATTAACCCGTTTTTTACAAATTAAACCACAATTGATTGTAGCCCATAAAATATTAGATAAATCTAATAGGTTCTCCTTAAGTTTTAAGTGGTACCAAATTTCCTCAGCTACTCTAACTCTCTTATCCTGCAAAACATGAAGCTCTTGCCCATACACAGAATTCAAACTGACGAAGTTATCAAGATCATTCAACAGACACCTGGTCATCCACTTTAATGTCAATCCAACCATAAACTTCATAGCTCAATTTCCTCAAACTCTTCTCAATCATGTTCAACTTTTCCTTAAAAACAAAATCTCCTTTACCAATAACTGTCAACGATCTTCATTCTTTCGTAATGAATTTCGTAAGGAGAGAGTGCTTAATCCAATCATTATTGAACCTGAACGACTTCGGTCCCTAGTTAACACAACACAACTTCAACCATATAGGACAGCGATCCGAGATTTCTCTTTTGTCAATGGTTTGACCAATAATACCCTACTCCTCCACCAAATCACTAGACAAGAGGAAGCGATCAAGCTTACTCATAGTTGTACCACCTCCATTAAACCAAGTGAATAACCCTCCAATACAAGGAACACCAACACACCCCAATTTGTCAAAGAACCTGCAAAAACTCTGCATCTCAGTTCTTCTGTCTCGTGCAGAAATACCTTTTCTCTCTCACTTTCTCTCAAAACTGCATTAAAGTCTCCTCCTACCAACCAATAACAACTAAAATATCTAACCTTTGCATTGAAATATGAAACTACATATTAATGTGGTTTTTCTTTTGCTCTACTAATAAGTGAAATCATAACCGTTATAGACCATCATTAAATAAGAAAAATTCAATGGCTTGGATATTCACCACATTTTTGTGTATGATATTTACTACATTATTCATAACACTTTCATTTGAATGTCTACTTAAAATATGGCTCATTAAGTTTTACTAAGAAAAAATGTAATGGAAATTTTTGAATGAAGAAAAGATTGTAATGATAATACTTTAAAAAAAATCTAATAGTAGAAAATCATAGTGGGTAAAGAAAGTGTATCTTAGTTAAGTTTATATTTTTTAATTAAAATGAACAGACATAATTAAGATAATCTTTTTTGTAATTATTTTTCTGGTTGTATAAGATTTCTTATGTAAGAAGGCAAAAGACTTTTAAAAATCAGCATCCTAGTACATTGAATTTTGTCAAAAAGAATAATTTCAGCCAATGATTTTGTTGAAAAAATAACTGTATTCCATAAAAGCTCTATTTTTAAATTTAGAAAACAATAAAAAATTTCTAGAAAATATATTAAACAAATTTTTATTATTTCTATTTAAAATACAAAATATTTTTTTTTACCTTTTATTCATTTTATATTTATTAATTCAAAATCTTATTCACCAAGATAACATCGAGCTGGCATTTACCTTAAAAGTATAATATAAAATCATTATTATTAATTATACTTCCAAATACACTTAATTTCCATATTTTATTAATAAAATAACGAATAAAAAAATAAAATGAACCCTTATATAAATCTCGCTTGAGACATTTCATTAGTATCATAGAAAAAATCAATAGTACTTATTATAAGTAAACAACAAACAGTGTCCATCAGAGAGGTTACAGAGAGAAAGATTTGGAGAGAGAAAGAGCGCGCGTTGTCGTTTTGGTTTTCTTGATTTTTTATTTTGGTGCCAAATCTTTTAGATTTTCCCTCTTCTTTCAAATTTTCTCTCTTCAATTTTAAACCTTTTCATCTTCCCTCTCGTTTTTCTTCTCCACTAAACCCTTTTTTCCGAAATTAATTTCACTATTTTTCTTTTCTTCTCATAATTTTTTCTCTCAAGAATCTCGTACTCTGAATCAAGTAGTTTATCTATTTATTTTTAATTTTTTTAAAGGGTTTTTTTTTACCGTTGTTTTGAAACCCTAATTTGAAATCTGATTCAAAATTCAATGTGTTATTCAAATTCTACTTCAATGGCGAGTTCACTTTCCGAATCCCTCAACAGTGAAGGAATGAATCCTATGTTGACTGATCTTGACGGAGCTTCCGTTCAATCTCCTGCTCCGGTTAACTCTTCTGAGCCGTCAACCCGCGATATGCTTTTGGCGGCACTTTTCGACATCCAACCTGGGGATGGGGATCCCGATCATCCAGCCTCTTATGAGATATTCAACGGCGAATCAGCATCTGTTTGGGCGGAGGGGTTGGTTCCTGACTGTCAACCTCTGAATTCGGCGGTAGCTTGTGATGTGCCGCTGGAAGAATGGTTGCCAGAGGACCATCTCGATGATAGTTGGTTGCATGACGATAAACCTACGAAGGATGAACTTTATGTTTCTGATTCTAAAGTTGCACCGTCGATTATTGTACGTGTTTCTTTCATTGTTTTTCTTTTATTTAGTTTTGGCTTATTACTCATCGACGCATATACAATAATTTTTCACCCAATTGCCACTATTTAAAATATAAAACACCAAAATGTCACAACTTAAAAAAAATTTCACACTTTTAGTTTGGGTTCGTCCATCCAAAGGACAAGTGGAAAAAATCATGGGGTTCCGCCAATGGATGGCCGACCATATTTTCCGAATTCCAATTTCCATAACCATATTTCTTTCCAAATTCCAATTCCCATAACTGTATTTCTTTCCAAATTCCAATTCCCATAACCGTATTTCTTTCCAAATTCCAATTCCCATAACCGTATTACTTTTTAAAATAAAAAAACAAAAAAAAATCATAGAATAGGATCGGTCATGTATTAGCCCGAACCCCAACCCAACATGACTTTTTCTAAAATAAAAAAAAAAACAAAAAAAGTTTATAGAATAGGGTCGGTCATCTATTGGTGGAATCCCAATCTGACTTTTTTTCATTTCAATGGATCGTACTTTGGATGGACGAACTCAAACAAAAAGTGTGTCATTTTGGAATTTTTTTTCAAGTTGTGGCATTATGGTGTTTTGTATTTCAAATAGTGGCAATTGGGTGAAAAACTCCATATACAACACTGATACGAGAAACACTTAATTGAATGTAAATGTGTTAGTGCCGTGTACTTTTACTTGTGAGACACCAGACATAACTACATATGTTTTCTGTTTTTGTTTTTGAATTTTTGTTGATGTATCTGATTAACAGGGAGCTGGGCTTGCAAATCTCGGGAACACTTGCTTTCTCAACTCAATATTGCAATGCTTCACGCATACAGTGCCCCTAGTTGAGGGTCTTCTTTCGTGCAACCATTCTTTTGATGGTGGGTTGCCCTTGCTTGAATTTAATTGCATCATTCATTTTATTAATTTTAGCTTTAGATTGATGGGTAAAAATGTAGAAGTATGTTATTATACAATGGGGTTTTACAATTCTGGGAGTTTAGATCTTAATAAGATTAATTGTTTTCATGATTAAAACATATGATATATGACATGTTATTTCCCCGGAAGATTTTAACCTTTCAATTGCGAATTTCAGGTCATAATGGGTACTGTGTTATTTGTGCATTCCGCTACCAGATGCAACAATCCTTGCAGTCTACTGGAACTGTTATCTCCCCCGAGATACTTGTGGATAATTTGAAGCGTATCCTTGATACCATATTCAATTTTCTTTTTTTTTTTTGAATATTTTGTGGTAGGCACGTGGACAATCTTTTGAAGGGAAGGATTAAAAATTCTGTCATTAATTGGTAAAAATTTGAAGTGATTGTTATATTATTGGTCTGTGAAATAGAACCTTTAATTAGTACTGTAGAAGGTTAGTTTCTTTTATACTTTTTGTGGTTGTGATCCATGACCTGTATCAGATTTTTCCTCTATGTTTAGAAGACATCAACAAGAGGATGCACATGAATTTATGCAGTGTGCATTGGATAAACTTGATTCATGTTTTTTAAGTTTGAAGAAGAATGATCCAAGTTTTGAGGGTGAGAATATTGTAAACAAAGTTTTTGGAGGAAGTCTGGTTAGCAAGGTATAATTGATAAATACATTGTTAAATAATTGTCTGTCTCCCTTTGATATAGAATGGAATGTTTTCTAATGGTTATATTTTCCTTGTATTTATGTTTCAGCTCCGATGTTGCACATGTGGCCGCTCTTCTGACACTAATGAGCCGTTGATTGACTTGAGTTTAGAAATAGAAAATGTAGATTCTCTATCAAGTGCTTTAGAATCTTTCACTATGGTGGAAAACATTGATGAAAAGCTTAAATGTGAAAGCTGCAATGAAGAAGTTTCTATGGAGAAACAGCTTATGCTGAATCAGACACCTTCTATTGCTGCATTACATTTAAAGAGGTTTAAGACAGATGGGTTTTTTGTTGAAAAGATTGACAAACATATTGATTTCCCATTGGAGCTGGACTTGCGGCCTTACACCATTTTAAATGAAAAGAATAATGTGGGTTTTCATTTTGTTTCCCTCACTTACATTTCTCATATGAATTCTTTGTTTTGACTCATTTTTATGTTGACAGGTACCATTGAAATACGATCTATATGCAGTTGTTGTGCATATTGGATTTTCATCTGACTCAGGCCATTATTTCTGCTTTGTTCGCACTGCTCCTGACACATGGCATAAGTTGGATGATTCAAAGGTAGCATCTGCTGAACTTGTTCCACATATATGAGATTTAGTGTTTTTACAAATATGTTTAATTATAAAGGTTGACAGTGTCTTCTTGGTTCAATATTTATATGTTGTTTTCCATAGATTGAAATTATTCACTTATTGTTTGTTGCAAGTTACATATTTGTTGTTCATGGTTTGGTTTCCTTTGCATACAGTTTGTGCTTATTTAATAATTGTATTGGCTAGTAGTCATTCTTTTATATTTTTATTTAACATGTAATATCTGGAAATTATTCAGGTTACCAAGGTATCAGAGAAGACTGTGCTGTCTCAGGAAGCATACATATTATTTTATGCCCGACAAGATACTCCTTGGTTTTCAGAGTTTGCAGAATCTACAATTCCATCACTGGATTTGGGTAGGATGAATACATCTCCCAAGTCTGTTTTAGACATCCCTGAAGGCCAGGATAAGTCATTTCCTATTTTAAATGAAAATGTTGAGATGAATAAGGCTGAAGACTCCAAAAAAATTTCTGAAAAGAAGTTTGATTATTCGAGTCGACAAAGTCGCGAGAAGCTTAAAATTGATGATGTTATTGATGCTTCTCCAAACCGTGAACAACTTCCTGCTGGGCCTTCAAACCAGAAAGCTCTTAATGTTAAAGGATTGGAAGATATCAACTCCAAAGTGCTACCTTTGGATAGTGCCTGCTTGACTGGTACTGCAAAGGCTGGTGGGAGTTCATATGCTGATAACAACAAATCTGGTCATAGTGTTATGGATTTCATAGATAATAATATTTTCAATTCTCTTACTCCTCCCAACACACCCCCTTCTCAGACTTCAGGTAATTGGATGCACTTTTTCTGATAGTCTTTTTGCTTGTAACTTAATGATTTACTTTGTTTGATAACTTTGAGTTGCATTTGTCAGGTAAGAGTTTCCAGATCTCACGCGAACATGTGAAGACAGAGAAACAAGGGAGCAGTAGCAGTAAAAAATCATCATCAAATAAGTCAAATAAGTTATCCGACAGTCCTGGAAAAAAAGCTGCCATTACTTATCTTAAAAAGATGCGTGGTTCAAGGAGAGGTGCATTTATGGATTTAGTTAACGCCAGTCATAACAAAACTTCCCCAGAAAACAAGAGAAAAAACACTGATTCATCGGCGTCTGACAAAGGCAGTGCTCGCAAGAAATCAGGCCATGCTTCTGTTGGAGGCTACCCTTTGGCAATTGGAATTTCTCAATAGTTAGTCTTTGGCTTTAGGCATTAGGCTGTGTATTTGATTTTTTATAGTGAAAATACCTTCATTTGTGGTCTTTTTGCTAAAAGTTGTCAACACCTTTGCCAAATTGTATAGTCACAACACTGACACCCCTTGTTCCCATTTTGCATGAGAAGAACATATACATGAAGTAATTGTGGGCAAGGATGTATATTAGAAACAAGAGCATTGGTGATGAGAAATAATACAAGAACGATTTTAGGAATATTCCCAACTTCAAATAATGTTAAAATTTTAATACAATAATTTATTACAAGGGCAAATATTTACTTGTTTGCATCTTTGTACACTCCCTTTAGTGGAATTTGGTGTTTGAGTTTCTGGTTAATATAATACCAATTTGTTTGACATTAAAGATACTGTCAAGATTGACCCCTGATTATATCTGAGGGCAAGGATTTTCTCTATAAACATTCTTTAATAAATACAACATTCAAGACATCAATTAATTACTAAGCAGCTCTTGATGATGTTGAGCACTGTCTGTACTGCATTCTGAGCAGTGAATGTGTGAGTTCTATAAAAGGAATTGACATGCCTCAGTAAATCCCTTTCCCTGTTCGTTCTTTTGTTGATTCATTACTTATTATCATTTGCACTTGAATTACTTCTGAGCTATAGTTTCTATATTCTTACCATACAATGTTGAAGCTTCTTGCATGGGACAAGAAGTCACATGAGAATGATCTCCCTGATCATGACTTTGCAAGTACAGAAAACGCCAACAAGCATGTTGTAGTTGTGATGGATGGAATGACAGAGTTCACCACAGAGCCTCTTCAATGGGCACTCGACAATGTTGTTACCTTAGAGTGCGCAGTCACACTTGTTGGGGTTATGCCTTGGCTCAACATTCCTTGTCAGTGTTATTAATTTAGCCATCTTATTAACCATAATTTGTTTCACAGAATATCTATTCTTTGGTTACGAAGATTACATTTTGTTAGATATAACACTCGCATTAACTTCCTTTCCCTAATACTAAATACATCTTGCATGAAAGTGGAACTATGTAATTACTTTTTTGTAGTGTCTTCAAATACAAGAAATGATTTTTGGATGATAGAGATGGAAGATCCATCTCTAGTGAAAGAGAAAAATGAGTGCATAAATGATATGTATATAATGTGTTACGCAGTTATAGATGTTTGCCGAAAATACGGAGTATTAAATAAATTTACCATTTTACTCACATTTCAAAACAAACTTATAAATGATATCATATATATATTATAATATATTAAATCTAATACAATAAATTATGTTAAAACACATAATATTTTATATTTTATGTAGGTTATATTTGACACATCAATTAAAATCTGATTAAATCTAATGTAATAGATTATATTACGACACATAATATACTATGTATTACATTTACCAAGTCAATTAAAATCTGATGTGTCACTTGTAGGATTGAATCTTACACCAAATTTACACAATTCTATTTCAAAAATGATATGTTACAATTATCTTATTAGTATTAAATATTTCACAAGAGTAAACTACAATTAAACACAATTATCACTCTTTATATAATTCAATCTTTTCACCTTACATCTAAAAAATAATTACAGAATTTTGTAATAACTAGACCATTCTGTTTTTTAGAGTTTAATATAAAAAATTATAGTAACTACACTATTTTGCTAAATTATAAAACATCACAAAAAGAAATGATCATTCAAAAAATAAAATAAAATTGATGACTAACAAAAAATATTATATTAAATATTTAAAATTCTTATAAAATTTAATAATTACAATAATTTTTTTAGTTGATCAATTTTCATAATTAATTTAAATTTTATTTAAAATTAATAAAATACAATTACACTTTGACTTAACTTGTATTCCAAATATGTTATAAGAATATTATTATTATATATCTCATAAGAGTTAATCGCAACTAAACACAATTGTCACTCTATATAATTCAATCTTTTTATCTTACACCTAAAAGAGTAATAAAATACTATAAAATCTCAAATATGTATTGAATGTGATTCATAAAATGAAAATCCAACTACTATAAATTATTTGATTGCGTGATTGCGACAAAAATTTGACGGATGGGAATCCAATTTCATTTTATCAGTTAATGAAACGTGTGTATAGTGATCGTGATCAACTGCAGTTAAAACTTTACTGTATTCTCGCAGTTATGATGTATAGTCGTCTGATTTAAATCAGACAGTTGTTATTAAAAATTGTTATTTATTAAATTAAATAATAAAATTTAAATATTTTTTTTATCCATCTGATCAAAGTCCAATGGATATGATGGTTTATTCTGTGTACAATAGGATGCGGAACTACGAGTTCTGCATTTTTAGTTGAGTTGTTCCAACTTTTTGTTACACTGCACTTCTTGGAAAAGCTTGTTAAAACAATTTATAGTATTTTTCATAAATTTTTTGAAACTAATTTTTATAAATCCTAAAAGATATCTTAAAAGATAACTTATAAAAATAAGTTATAATATTTATAAAAATAGTTTAAATTTATTTTATCTAGTAAAATAGTTTACGCAAGAATTTGCATAAGTGTTTATTTTGACAAACACTTATTCTATAAACTCAAAATAAGTTATTTATTCAAATTAAGTAAAAAAATGACAGTTAAATAAAACACAAATTAAACACATCAAAATATAGTTTTGTCGTTAGGGTCTGTTTAATTCAACGGAGGGGAGGGAAGGAGAGGTGAGGGGATGTATTTTAATTAAACGTTTGTTTGGTTCATAAGAGGGGGAGGGGAGGGGAGGGGAAGAAGAAGTTTTATTCAAATATATGTTTGGTTCACAGGGGAAGGGAGGAGTTTTAAAACTAACTTACCTTTTTACCCTTAAAATATTATAATAATCATTAAATAAATTTTTTAAAAAAAGTATTTACCAAAAAAAATTGTTAATTCATAAAAAATAACACAAAATATTTAACATTTAAAATTCTCTAAAATATCTTAAAATAAAAATAAAATATTGATAAACGTCATAAAGTCAAATTAGATGATCAATGATCATATGAACCATTTTCTCATCTTGACGATCCATTTAATCCTATAACATATTTATAAGATTAAATTCCACATAATATATAATTCATACTACAATTATATATTGATATGTAATATAATACAATAAATTATAGAATAATTAAGTTATTACAAGCAAAATATTAAATAAAAAATGAATAGAATAAAACACATGGAAAAAAAAGTTGAATCATAATAATAAAAATAATAGAGTTGTCATTAATCAAAGGAAGGAATTATAATAAGGTGACAAAAATTAAGGTATAATATTAATAAAGACAATTAAACATTTTATTAAATAAAAGTGAGGATAATTTTGTTAATATAATAAAAATACATGTTATCATAACTCCTCTCCTTCCCCTCTCCTCCGAAAACCCCCAATTTGGAGGAAACGAAAAAATGCTTCAGGAGAAATTCTGATTACCTCCAATCCCCTCATAAAAAATTGAAGCAAACACACCTATTTTAAAATATTCCCTCTCCTCCCCTCCAAAATCCCCCAACCAAACAGACCCTTAGTAAACTGTGTTTTCATCATGATTACTAATATTAACTTCGTAACTACTAATTGCTAAAGTAGTAGTAGTACTTATCAATACCTAAACCTTTTAAGTTCTAAAAGCTTTAACTTGTAGTAAGTTCTTCATTTTCCCATCAAAATAACATTGGAACATGAGAAAGGTAAACCAAATCTACATTTAAAGATATATTTAAATTTAAACTCCCTTTAAATAGTCCATCAATTAATCCAATTTGAACTTCCTGCACAAAAAATACACAAACTTACGTTACAATGTGAAGCAAAAATCTCTATCCATGGTAAATAGAAGCACCAAACGCATAAAAGCATCACAATAATAATGCAATAGATAACAAGTCAAAAATCACTAATTCTATACACATTAGTGATGAATATATTGAGACCCATACAAAGGATTTCAAATCTGAAACCATTGTTATTTTTATCGAGGTTAGTAAATCTTATTTTTGTTTATCTATTAGCATGTAGAATATGTGTTTGATTGATAATTTTTTCGATCTGAGAATCAACTTTTCAAAATCATATATCTTGCTTATAATTCATTGTGGAACTTTTTAGTTTGCATTCTATTTTTATACCATCCGTAAACTGATTTTTTTTACCAATACATGTTTCATTTACATATTCATATTTTTCTATTTCATATGATTTAGTTTTAGTAAACACTGATTTTCGATCATTTTTATGAAAATTTTCTTCAAAAACTGTTATTTGTTTAAGAATGAACCATTTACTTGTTTTATTTTTCATTTATTTATTATATTTTTCTATTTCATAAGCAACTAGTTATTGTACATGATTTTTGTACCATTTCTACATCAAAAACTGGTTTTAAAAACATTCATATTAATTATGTGTGTACAAACTGGTTCAAAAACCTTTTTATTAATTGTGTGTGCACGCGCTCTAAGTTTTTAACAATTGTTTCTTCAGAAGGTTTGTTTAATATTTTTTACTTATTAATCCTTTTCTATACCATTACTAAACTGATTCTTATATGGTTTAGGTAGTCAACAAACTACTAGCCGAGGCTTCACGGACCATGACGAATCAAAAGATTATGATTCCACAACTTCAACGCCTAAAATGGAGCGTACAATTTTGGTTAAAAAAATGGCAGCAACCGAAAGAAAGCCAACCAAGTCGAAATTTAATATGACTTTGGCCACAACATCAGCCCCGCCCAAATTCCAGCTTAAAAAAGATGGGACTGAAAAAATCAATGACATATAATACAATAGGATTAAGAAGCATCCGTTCTGTAAGCTTAAAGAAGATAATTACAATGGTTTTTACATCAACTTCCATCCATCATGTAGTTTTGGATATGAAGGTTGTGATAACGGTTTTGTCATTCCTGAAGTAAGTATTAACTAGTTAT